ACTTTCTGCATCACCATTGAAAAGTGTCTCATCATTTCAATAAAGCCGCTCATTGTGTTTAGTACAGTTCACTCTATCTAAGAAGCTAAAGATGTCCTTGTGCGTATTTATATAAGATGTAGACTTCTCGAGCGGCATATAAGAAAGTAGTCTACATTTACTCTACCTCTGCACCTCATAATGCCTTGCTTTGTTTGACCTGGATTATACGACTAGTGCATAAACAATGAATAAGGAGTACCTTTACAAACATGCAAAGATAGAAAATACAAAAAAAAAACCCAATCTAGTCGCCAGTTTATATAGAGATGACGCACTACCAGGCCCCGAGTCTTCGGCTTCATTTACGAAAACAAATACCATTTTAGACGACCAGCAAATTACTGCCTTGTCCCCTTGTGATTTCTAGAAGCCAGCGCAAGCAGGATAAGTACGCAGCACAGTTTGCTTGGAGCGCGTTTTGTTGAGATTAGTGCCGTAGCAAAGAAGAGAGGAAGCTCTTAGATCTCGTGTTTGCGCTGTAAGTTGGGTGGATAGTGCTTAAAAGTAGTAAAATCATGAAGAGCAAAAAAGTGTTTGCTGATAGTAAACCTGAGGTCTCCCGTGGTCTCCGCCGTAGACTTAGGTCGCAAAAAGGTATCCCAATTATTACTTCTCTCAGGTTCCCAAAGAATCTATATATAATCCTCAAACTACTTTTGCGCATCTTCTTACCAAATTTTAATGCTGCTGACCGACTATACCCGCAGTGAATTAAAATACGTACTTCAACCTCCAGCGCAGATGCGTCCTTATCCTCTAGAGCAGGCTCGTGATCTTGGTTTTGTGGTAGTTGGTTATCGCACAGTTGTAAAGTAAGTATTAGGGGTTAGGCGAGGAATGAGAAACGAATTAATTTTTTCGAGAACCCGTACGATCTCTTTTGCTTTTCCCCCTAAATCAATTCCATGCTTGCCCTCTAGGGGCCTCCTGCCAAGCTTTGAGCATTATTCTCCCATTGCATAATCATCCATTCATAGGAAATTCTGCATTAGAATGATTTTCTCCAAAAAAGTCCTTTAATTTTACTAAGCAAACGAAAATGCTTCATCTCAAAGAATGATTTCCTAAAAATGGTCCTTCTAACTAGAGATGCGCATAACATTACAATACGATTTACGCATTACAA